ATATATATATATATATAGAAATATGTAAATGATCTACGAACTTTGAATTCTTAATATTATTTTGGGTTTTTATAGTGATCGGTTCCGGACAACTTGTAACGTCATAGGAGATTGCTACGTTGCTGCTTTTGTAGAAAAACTTTGTAAAGCTCCTCAAGGAGAAGATTCTTCTGCCTGCTTCGCTAACAACTGTCTTGAAGTAGTTGAAGAGAAAAATGTTACTAAGTTGTAAGAAAATGATGAAATGGTTAAAGTAGAAATGTCTTGAGCACTGTTGTTTTGTCAAAATATTATACTGGTTTTGAAGTGTAAGTTTTTATGAATTTGGAAGCTTCGATCTTTCAGAAATTTCCCATCATGGAGTGTTTTTAATTTAGCGTTTTCTTGAAAAAAAAAGGAAAGGTTATTTTAATATATATACACTCACATGGTACAATGAAAATCAGATAACCAACTGTATTACTCTTTTGCAGAATAAATCACTTCATCAATTTTGTTTTCCACACACTGGTGAACTCTGGTTTGGTTTGTGTTGAATTTCACGCGAAGGTACACGAAGGTTGGAGGAAAGGATAATCTTGGGCTACTCTTTTACCAATGAATAGTTGGATTGACTGTCACGTTATAACGCCCTCACTGCTGAAAGGGCGAACATGTTTAGTGGGACGGAGATTCGAAACCGCGACTCTCAGATTGCTAGTCGAGCGCCCTAACCACTTGCTTTTGAACTTAAAAGAATTATTCTTCCATGGGGTGAATCTTATACCTTCCACCCCTGTTACTTAAATTAGTTAGCCTTGTTTGTGTGTTTGTAGGTAAACACAAAGCTATACAATGAGCTATCTGTACTGTATCCACCTTTAGCTTGTTCTTTTAATTTAATTTTACTAGCTCGATTATTTACCAGTCTTGTCGTTAAATAATCATTGAGAAAACTCATGACACAAAATCCTAGTTTTTCCGGATACTTCTATACTTGTTATAATTGAACTAAAATCTTATTATACTTTGAAGTTTAATAGCATTGTGTTAGTATTAATATATTCTTTTAACTACATATTATTACCTTTAATTAACAATAATGGCTTAACGATCCCACTTTTCTTTACGCGGTTGGTTTGGTTTTTGTTTGCACTGTTACATTTCACCTCATTCGTGATAAGTTATTATTTTCGCTTTTATCTCTGTACATTTATATATAGGTGTGGAAAAAGAAACATACCACTTCGAGTATAGTATTAAAGAACGGCAGTTAAATTGAAATTACCCGAATCATTTTTTTTCTCGTCTCTGTAGTTATAGGTTTTTATGAAGAAGTATTTGAAATTTATTCCTTGCTCAATTATCCTATAGTTTTGTATTATTCCACAACGAACATTCAGTATTTTTCTGCTGCAATAAAAGATGTAGAGAATTAAAAACAAAATACGGGACTGACTTTTTGTAAAAATAAACTGTTGCCTGCTCACTCACACATAAGTTTCGCATGGCCTGGTGGTTAGGATAATCAACTCCCAGTTTGCAAGTCGTGGTTTAGAATCCCGCTCTCCCAGTCGTGGGAGCGTTATTCAGTGGCGGTCAATCCCACTATTCGTTAGTAAAGGGTAGCCCAAGTGTTGCAGGTGGGCGGTGTTGACTAGATGCCTTCCATGTTGTTTATTAAGGACAACTAGCACAGGTAGTCCTCGAGCAGGTATGCGAGAAATTCAACAAACAAACGCACAAAAGTGTCATATAAATTTTGATAGAAGAG